TTGTTTTTTAATTTTTAAAAATTTAATTTATTTTAAAATTTTATTTATATTTTTATATTTCATTTACTTATTTATCATTTTATTTATTTTTAGTTTATTTTTTTAACTTAATAGACTTTATTTTTCAGGCAGTTTTAAGTTCACAGCAAAATTAGGATAGAGCAGAAGGTACAGAGAATTCTCAAAAACCCCTGCCCCCACACATGCATACCACTATCAACATCCTCCACCTGGGCATGTATGTTACCGTCCATGAACCTACACAGACATGTCATTATCACCGAAAGGGCGGTGTACATTTTATGGGTTTGGACAAAGGCATAATGACATGTGTCCACCATTGTAGTATCATGTAGAGTAGTCTCTGTGCTCTGTTCATTCATCCCTCCACCTAAACCCCTGGGGACCACTGATCTTTAATTGTCTCCATCGTTTGGCCTTTTGTAGAATGTCATAGAGCTGGAATGGCATGGTATGTAGCCTTTTCAGATTGGCTTTTGTCACTTAGTAACGTGCCTTTTAGTTTCCTCCGTGTGTTTTCGTGGCTCGATAGCTCATTTCTCTTCAGTGCTGAATTATATTCCACTATCTGGATGTAGTACAGTTTATTTAACCCTTCACCCACTGAAGGCTCTCTTGGTTGCTTGCAGGTTTTGGCAATTATGAATAAAGCTGCTATAACCAGTTTTTAATCACCTCTTTTATGAGTCTTGCCTAGGCGGGACTTACTTTGGAATGGGGAAGCATCATCTGAAACTGAGACTGAAATAGTTCCCTCTCTATATCCTGTGACACAAGAAAATGAGAAAACAAGGCGACTAATAACTTTTTTGGGCGGGGGAAGTTATAGATGAAATGAAATGTAATCATAAAACTTTACATGGCTTAATGGTAAGTACTACTTCTGTAGGCTTACTAATGTAAATATTAAATACTGGTTGAATCAATAATTATGATAGGAAGATATTGGAACAACTAAGAAGGGGAAATTATTGTGTTGGAGTGGGTGGGAACAGGATTAAGAGAACTAATTCTTATCTTCCATGGTAGGCAGTCAACAGATCTAAATGGAAAAATCAAGAAATGTCAGTATAGGCATGTCCTTTAGAATATGAAGGAAGGGAGCGCCTGGGTGGCTCAGTTGGTAAAATGACTGCCTTTGGCTCAGGTCGTGATCCTGGAGTCCCGGGATCGAGTCCCACATTGGGCTCCTGCTCAGCAGGGAGTCTGCTTCACCCTCTGACCTCTCCCTTCTCATGCTCTCTCTCTCTCTCTCAAATAAATAAAATAAAATAAACCTAAAAAAAAAAAAAGAATATGAAGGAAGAGGAATGCCTGGCTGGCTCAGTCAGAAGAACATACGACTCTTGATCTCAGGGTTGTGAGTTCGAGCCCCATGTTGGGTGTAGAGATTACTAAAAAGTAATAAATAAACTATTGAAAAAAAGAAATATAGGGGCACCTGGTGGCTCAGTCAGTTAAGCGTCTGCCTTTGGTTCGGGTCATGGTCTTGGGTGTCCTGGGATCAAGCCCCATGTCAGGTTCTCTGTTCAGTGGGGAGTCTGTTTCTCCCTCTCTCTCTCTCCTTCTGTACTCTCCCTCTCTCCCTCTCTCAAATGGATAAATATAATCTTTTAAAAGAAAAGAGAAATATAAAGGAAGATACCTGGGGAAAACAGTTAAAGGTGAGTGGATGAGAGTGTTCTTTTTCATGATAAGCTTCTTAAAACTATTTGTCTTTTTAAACGATGGGCACAAATTACATTAAGAAACTTAATATTTTTGGGAAGCCTGGGTGGCTCAGTTGGTTAAGCCACTGCCTTCAGATCAGGTCATGATCCTAGAGTTCTGGGATCGAGTCCCACATCAGGCTCCCAGCTCCTTGGGGAGTCTGCTTCTCCCTTCTCATGCTCTCTCTCCCTCTCTCAAATAAATAAATAAAAATCTTTAAAAAAAACTTAATATTTTTATTTATTTATTTTTTTTAAAAAATTTTATTTATTTATTTGACAGAGAGAGATCACAAGTAGACAGAGAGGCAGGTAGAGAGAGAGAGAGAGGGAAGCAGGCTGAGCAGAGAGCCTGATGCGGGACTCGATCCCAGGACCCTGAGATCATGACCTGAGCCGAAGGCAGCGGCTTAACCCACTGAGCCACCCAGGCGCCCCAAAACTTAATATTTTTAAAGCTTTATTTATTTGAGAGAGCGAGAGTGCAGGGGGGTTGGGCAGAGGAAGAGGGGACAGAGACTCTCAAGCAGACTCCCCAGTGAGCATGGAGCCCCAACATGGGGCTCAATCCCATGACCCTAACACTTGACTGTGCCACCGAAGGGCCCCAAGAAACTTAATTTTTAAAACTATATAATAAAACATAGACATTATCTAGAGAGTAGATAGCACTTGAAGGTAACAAGAGCACTTTTGCTCTTAATGAGAAATAATTTGCATGAAGCTAAAAGCTATTTCGAATGACTGAAAAACTTTCTAATGTTCTAGGGAAAATGACTTCCTGTAGCCTTCTGCCTCCAGTATGATACAAAAACATACCCTCCTATTTCCAAGTAACCTTGAGATAAGCAGTGGATTCTCCTATAGGATCAATTTAAACATATTGTGAGGAATTTGTTTTTCCCACTAACTTAGCTGGTATTAAATTTGAGCGAGAACCACGTCAGCTAAGCCAATAGGAGCTACCTTGTGGACCTAGAACTAACTAACTCATAATCATACTTCTCACTTCACCCCGGAGCCTGTAGTATCCCTGTACTAAATCCTATCAAGAATTTGTAGGACAGTCAGTAAGAGAAAAAGGCCAGTAGAGAAAAGCAGAGATATGTTCTCTATGTGACCTGTCTTGTTCATTTCAGTATTCTCAGTGTATGACACACAATTAATGCTTGGTAGATATCTAAGTGTCTGTTGAATAAATAAATCGAATGACTGTAACTCCCCACTTTCCTGAGGTCTGTGAGCATTAGAATAAAGTTATCATTAATTATATCTATAGTTCATAGATATATTAAAAAATCAATAGGTGAGACAGCTCTTAGAAAAGGGTGCCTCGGGGCACCTGGGTGGCTCAGTGGTTTAAGCCTCTGCCTTCGGCTCAGGTCATGATCCCGGGGTCCGGGGATCGAGCCCCGCATCGGGCTCTCTGCTCAGCAGGGAGCCTGTTTCCCTTCCTCTCTCTCTGCCTGCCTCTCTGCCTGCTTGTGATCTCTCTCTGTCAAATAAAAATAAATAAAAATCTTTAAAAAAAAAAAAGAAAGAAAAGGGTGCCTCACTGGGTATTTTGGGAAACAGTCCATTACAAATATAGGAAATGTAAAATCTACAAATTGCATGAGGAAATACGCAAGAATGCTGATAGTGGCAGTGCCTACAACACCAAGACATACCTCTGACCTAAATGTCCATCAGCAGAAGACTGGGTAAGTACAAGGGGATACACCCATGCAATGGTATATACAGAAGTGAAAATGAGCAAACGAGAGCTACGTATGTAAATAAAGATGAACTCCCCAAAAATGTAAAATTGAGGGGCAAAAAGCAAGGCACAGAAGAATCCAAATAGTATGATATCACTTATGTAAAATTTTAAGGGACGCCTGGGTGGCTCAGATGGTTAAGTGTCTGCCTTCAGCTCAGGTCATGATCTCCAAGTCCTGGGATCGAGCCCCACATCAGGCTTCTAGCTTCTTGGGGAGTCTGCTTCTCCCTCTCCACCTGCCACTCTCCCTGCTTGTGCACTCGCACGCTCTCTCTCTCTCTCTCTCTCTCTCAAATGAATAAATAAAGTCTTTAAAAAATAAAAAAAAAAATTTAAAATTCACAAAGTAATATTGTTTTAGGAAGACTTCATTGCAATGTTAAGTATAAAAATTCATGGAAATAATAAACACCACATATTGAGTAAGTGAATGAATGAATGAATGAATACGCTTTTAAAAACCCCTCAGGACACCCAGCTGGCTCAGTTGGAAGAGCACGTGACTCTTGACCTCAGGGTTATGAGTTTGAGCTCCACATTGGGTGCAGAGATTACTTAAATAAATTAAGAACTTTATAAAGCAATAAATAAAAACTACCAGCCCTCAAATGAAGATGTTTTCTTTGAAATATAAAGCACTTTATTTTTGTTACTTTTTTTTTTTAAACAAAGATTTTGTATTTTTAAGTAATCTCTAGGCCCAGCATGGGGCTCAAACTTAAACAACTCTGAGAACAAGAGCAGAATGGCCTACTGACTAAGCCAGCCAGGAGGGCGCCCCTGTTTTTGAATAGGTGATTACATACGCACATATACACATTCAAAAGAAAACTGAAACTGAAAGGTATTTCACCAAAAAGTCATTTTCCCACCTTATCCCCAGTTACTCAATCTTTCTCTTCAAAGGAAATACTGTTATCATATATATATTTTTTAAAGGTTTTTTTTTAAGATTTTATTTATTTATTTGACAGACAGAGATCACAAGTAGGCAGAGAGGAAGGCAGAGAGAGAGGAGGAAGCAGGCTCCCTGCCGAGCAGAGAGTCCAATGTGGGGCTCTATCCCAGGACCCTGGGATCGTGACCTGAGCCGAAGGCAGAGGCTTTAACCCACTGAGCCACCCAGGCGCCCCTGTTATCATATTTTTATCTTCATTCAGACCCCTGGAATCTAGAGGTGGTCTGTTCATTAACAAACACACGTGTTTTCTGTATCTGCCACAAATTTTCTGGCTCTTTTTTCTTGATGAGTCTGGATAGAGGTTTATCAATTATGTTTTAATTTTTTTTTTCTTCAGAAGAATGAGCTTCTGTTTTCATAAGTTTTTCTCTATTATTACTGCTTTCCATTTATTGGTATCTTTATTATTTCTGTAATTCTGCTTGCTTGGGATTTAATTTCTTTTTCTAGTTTAAGGAAGAGATGTAGATTACTACTAGTTTGAGACTTTTTTTTTTGCTTTTCCAATGCAAACATTTTAATTTTTTTTTTTAATTTTTTTTGACAGAGAGGGCACAAGCCAGTGGAGTAGTAGGCAGAAGGCAAAGGAGAAGCAGGCTCTCCGCCGAACAGGGAACCAGACATGGGGTTCCATCTCAGGATGCTGGCATCTTGACCTGAGCCAAAGGCAGTAACCCAACCAAGTGAGTCACCCAGGTGCCCCTAATGCAAACTTTTTTTTTTTTTTTTAATTTATTTGACAGACAGAGATCACAGGTAGGCAGAGAAGCAGGCAGAGAGAGAGGAAGGGAAGCAGACTCCCTGCTGAACAGAGAGCCCGATGCAGGGCTCAATCCCAGGACCCTGGGATCATGACCCGAGCTGAAGGCGGAGGCTTTAACTCACTGAGTCACCCAGGAGCCCCCAATACAAACATTTTAGCACTACAAATTTTACTCTAAAGATTCCCTCATCCCCAAGTTTTTGGTATGTTGTAATTTCATTTTCATTCAGTTCACGGTATTTTATATTTATCATCCCTGTGAGAAACACACTTACCAACTAGAAGACAGTGTCAATGTGCAGTTCTTTTTGCCTTTAGCTTTTACCGTTTCCAGTCAAAGCACTTTTCCAAAGTTAATTAGGGTCAGCTTCTTTTGTTCCCATCCCTGCCAGTGAATTCATTTGTCCTGGTCTTTAACTCTATCTTGGGAACCTTGGCCATCTTTACCGATCCCTAAACATTTGCATACAGTAAAGTTTGCTCTGTAAGGGTTTGGGAAAATTCAGTCATGTATCCATTACCTCGGGAGCATAAAGAACAGTTCAGTCACCTAAATACCTAAACATCAGGTGTAGGATTTTAGACGACTACCCCCACCCCCACCCCTCTGACAACCACTGATTTGTTTTCTGTCCCTCTAATTTTGCCTTCTTCAGAATGTTGTATAAATGGAAGCAAACAATTTGTAGCTTTTTGGGTTTCATTTTTCTCACCCGCAATGATGCAATTAAGATTCATTTATGTTGTTTCATGTATATTTCTATACTTGTTGCTCCGTAGGGTCCCATTACATGGATGGACCACGGTTTGTTTATCTGTTCCCCTGTGGAAAGACATCTTGGTTGTTCCCAGGTTTGGCTGTTACGAGGAAAGCTACTATAAATATTAGTGTGAGGGCTTCATGTGAACATAAGTTGCCAGGTTGTATGGCAAATGCATGCTTAACTTTATAAGAACTTGTCAAGTCCTTCCCAAGTGGTGTACTCTTTTACACTCCTCTCAGCAATGAATAAGCATTCCTAATGCTCTTCATTCTTCTTTTTCTTTCTTTTTTTAAAATTTATAGCAGGCAGAGACAGAAGCAGGCTCCCAGCCAAGCAAGGAGCCTAATGCAGGACTAGATCCCGGGACCCTGGGATCATGACCCGAACCGAAGGCAGCCACTTAACCGACTGAGCCACCCAGGTGTCCCACTCTTCATTCTTCTATTTGGTGTTGTTGGTTTGTTTTTATTATTTTTAGCTATTCTAATAGCTATGTAATGATATCTCTTTGTGAGTGTATATGTGTGTGTGTTTTCTTTGCATTTCCCGAATGATATCTTTTCACATGTTTATTTGACACCCATATATCCCTAAAACTTCTTTGGTGAAGTGTCTGTTCAATTCTTTTGCCCGTTTTTCCCTTGGGTTTTTTGTTTTCTTATTGTCGAGTCTTCAGTGTTCTTTATGTATTCTGGATACAAATCCTTTTTCAGATATATGATTTGCAAATACTATATCCCAAGTCTGTAGCTTGTTTCTCATTCTCTTAGCAACGTCTCATCTCATTTTTTTTAAACTGCTGATTATTATTCCATTGTAAGAATTTGTCATAATTTATTTAGCCAGTCTTAGGTCCATAGATGTTGATGCTATTTCCAAACTTTTGCTATTACAAACTGTATTCCCATTAATATCCTTGAGTTTATGGTCTTTCTTTCTTCTTTTTTTTAAGAGAGGGAGAGAGTTGGGTAGGGAGTAGAGGGGGAGGGAGCCCAGCGAAGAGCCTGATGAGGGGCTCGATCTCACAAACGTGGCATGAGCTAAAAAACCAAGGGTCAAAGAACAACTGATTGAGCCACCTAAGTGCCCCTCAAGGTGTTATTTCTTTCTTTCTTTTTTATTTTATTTTATTTATTTATTTGACAGAGAGAGAGATCACAAGTAAGCAGAGAGGCAGACAGAGAGGGGGAGAAGCCGATTTCCTGCTGAGCAGAGAGCCCGTAGCTCCCCCTGCTTGTGCTCACTCTAGCTTTCTCTCTCTCTGTCAAATAAATAAATAAAATCTAAAAAAAAAGGATCTCATTAGATGTCTGATATCTTAATGATACAGAGTCTTGCTAGTCAAGAACATATATTTCTATGTGTTCAAATCTTTTTCTGCATCCTTCTGTAAAATTTAAGCCTTCTCTTCATATAGATTGTGTGTCGTTTTTGTAAAATTTATTCCTAGGAATTTTCTTTTCTTGTTGATTTGTAAATGATATCTTTTTTGGACCAAAAATGTCGTGATACCAAGATGTCATCATGATGTCAAGATATAATGATGTCATTCCATCTTCTAAGATGCAATGCTGTCCCTCTAAGATGCTGAAAGAGCCCCAGGGGAGCAGTCTACCTCAAATAATCTTGAGAATTACTCATCTGGACGAGCAAGTAGTTCTCAACCATATTTGCCCTTGCAACATATACTATGGGTGATTTTGACATACACCAATCAACCCTACAGGTGTTCCTTGTTTTTTTAGGGACTCCAGCAGAGATGAGAGGCTGTGGTTCTTCAGTAGCTGATGGAAATGGATGTGTACCAGGCACTGTCTTAGGGGCCAGGGACACCATCATGATCAAGACAACTTGAGTCCCTGCCCTCATGGAAGGTGATCACATAGTCCCAGTTGAACAGAGCAAACTCAGCAGATAATCGAATACTTATAAGAGTGCAGAGTTCTGCTAAGGAGCCATGAGAGTGGAGCAGAGGTAATTGGTCAGGTGTTAACATCCACTAACACTCACCCTGAGGCTTCAGTTCGCTCACATGCTGCCCATTCCCACATTACGTCTCCAGTTCTGACTCTCCTCTGAGCTCCAGACCTGCCATTTGCACTTGCCCAACAGGAGGTAGAGTCTAATCCCGCTCCCTTTGGATTTGGACAGGCTTACATCTTACTTGTAGCCAGGACACTACAGCAGATGTGACTCTGTATGCTGTCTGAGGCTAGGTCACATGAGGCAAACGCAGCTCTGCCTTGCTCTCTGGGACGCTCCCTCTTGAGGACTTCAGCTGCCGTGTGAACAGTCCGACAGGCCGGAGGCTGCCATGCTGTGAGGAAGCCCATCGCAGGCCATGCAGAGACCCCGAGGACAGCCTCTGAGGCTCCGTGAAGAGGGAGAGGCCCAGCCAGCCCACAGGTGTTCTCTCACCAGTAGTCCAGCTCTACATTAGAATCCCAAGTTAGAAGAGCCTGCCCGAATCCTTTCCAAATTCCTGACCCGTAGATCTGCAAGAGATGATAAAATAAGCCACTACATTTGGAAGTGATTGGTTTTGTAGCGATAGTAACTAACATCTGGGCCATGTGGTTTTGTGCATCTTTTCCTCCTACTGGGAACCCTTCCAGCACCCGTTTTGCCTGGTTACCCTGGACATACCCTTCAGATCTTTGCCGAAGCTACTACAGTGCTTTAGCACGCACCATCCTTAAACCTTCAAACCTGGGTTCATAGTGCCCTCATAATACTATGTACCTTTTCTTCCTGTACTCGTCACAGGAGCATCTGGAGATTCTTTGACCAGGGTCTGTCTTCCTGACAAGTCTTCAGCTTCACAGAAAAGCATGCAGTTACGCAGTAGGCCAGGCATGGCAAACTTGAACGTCACCAGGAACGGGGACATAACATAAACGAGAGACCTGAGTATGGTGGGGACTGCAGTGACATGAGAAGTATGTGCCCACCTAAAGGGTGTAGCTGCCACTCCACAGGCTCTGTGCAGCCAGATCTGCCCCATTTTTAAAGCGAGCTACAAAGCCATGTTATTATTACTATTATTTTTTTTTAAAGATTTTATTTATTTATTTGACAGAGATCACAGATAGGCAGAGAGCCAGGCAGAGAGAGAGAGGGGAAGCAGGCTCCCCGCTGAGCAGAGAGCCCGATGCGGGGCCCGATCCCAGGACCCTGGAATCATGACCTGAACCGAAGGCAGAGGCTTAACCCACTGAGCCACCCAGGCACCCCCTATTATTTTTTAGAGATTTTATTTATTTATTTATTGGGGTTGAGAGAGAAAGAGAGAGAGAGAGCTTTTGAGTGCACACGTGCACACATGTGCAGGGGGGAGGGCAGAGGGAGAAGCAGACTCCCTACTGAGCAGGGAGCCTGAAGCGGGCCTGGATTCCATGACCCTGAGATCATGGCCTGAGCCAAAGGCAGACTCTTAACCAGCTGAGCCACCGAGGCGCCCCCAAACCCAGATTATTATGTAAATGTTAGAATCGTAGTAACTAATTAAAACTAAAAACACAGAGGGGCACCTGGGTGGCTCAGTTGGTTAAGCGACTGCTTTCAGCTCAGGTCATGATCCTGAAGTCCCGGGATTGAGTCCCTATCAGTCTCCCTGCTCAGCAGGAAACCTGCTTCTCCCTCTGACCTCTCCCCTTTCATGCTCTCTCTCTCTCTCTCTCTCTCATAAATAAATAAATAAATAAATAAATAAAATACTTAAAATCACAGATGAGAGAAGAAGGAATAAAAACAACAACAAGCTGAAGAGTTAATACTCCTTGGGCTTTGTTTTGTGGGGGGTTGTTTTTGTTTTTCCATCTGGTCAGCATAGATCAGGCATGGGGCTACAGGTTGGTCAGACAATACATATGACCCCTTCAGGTTCAGGTGGTCCCCAGCCACCCGACCACAGGGCTGTTCTCAACGTTTTTTGAGAGTGACTCTGAACTTGCTTTGTGTAATCAAGGAGTTGTATTTAACTGAGGCCTAGGTTAGCTGTGGGACTGGCTAGGTTCAGGAGTGGGTCACTTAGGTTTGTTTTCTTTTTGTACTGTGAGTTAAATTCCCTCCTACGGGCCTGCAGACTTCT